GTTCATCTTGTGGTCAATGATGACCCCCAAGTCTCTTTCTTCCGTAGTGCTAGTCAGTGTAGCACTGCCGAGCCTATAAGGATGCTGCAGGTTTTTCTTCCCAAGGTGGACAGCCTTGCATTTTTCGGCGTTAAACACCACCAGATTTTCGTCCGCCCATTTGCCCATTCAGGTGACTGACACCCATGTTTCAGCAGTAAAAGAGCGTCAAGTAGATTACATTAGATTGACATGGACTGCCTTGCACTTATTACTAGCCTGTGTTAAAATTAATATGTGCAGCTTAGTGCAGTTAGAGATAATCTGTGGAGCTTGCTAAGCACATTCCATCAGTTATACATTCATGCAGCTAAAGGCAAATGTTTAAACATTTGGTTAATGCACCATATGTCTAAAATGTTTTAGTTCCATCTGACGTTTTTTTAAATATTTTCATTGCAGTGGTAACTCACTGAGCATATTCATTTCTCTGGGAATTGCCTGTCCCATGTTCCCTTTTGCCATAGCATTCTTAGACCTGACTGCCATGATGTCTTAATTTTTTGGCTCACTAATCTAATTTCATCTAATGTAATTGGTTTGGCAGCTCTATTAACTTTTTTTGTATGTAGGTGCTAAATGAGGCAGAATGTGTGCGTGGTATGTGAGGCTGCCTTCTTTACTCTGCCCAGTTTAGAGGATGATTGCAATTTCCTGGACAGGGACAAGAGAGGCAGGACAACACAGTCCCCCTGTGCAACTCATCTGGCAGTCAATGAAGGTGGGTAAATTTGCAGGGAAGCCTATTGGTGAACAATGGCACAGTGTAGGTCAGGCTCAGCTTTGCACATCCCGTTAAGGGTAACTACAGTTTATGAAAACTCTAATAAAGAGACTTTGTACAGACACACATCCAGACCCAGGTGGTTGATGAGAAGCAGGTCAATTCTGTTCAAAAGACAGCCTGTCCATGGGGTTCCCTTTAGGCATTAAAACATTCTGGTTTGTAGAAGCTTTATGTTGGGCTCATGAGTTCTGAAGTCATTTTTGACCCAAAACTATCCATGAGCAAAAATCATTATCAGTTTTGGTTAGTAAATCTATTTATTTCAAACATAAGTAGTTCCCGAGATGTAACTCTCTGCAAAATTTAAGAAAGCAGCAATATCATAACAAGCTTTGGAAGCAAAGAAATGTTAGCAAAATGTCAAAATCTTAGATTGGCACAAGTGTTTAATGACCTGCAAATTAAAGGCAGCTTAGTAGATTTTTCCCCATACATTGCAGAAACACTTCCTTTGTTCTCAAAGGGAGTTGGTCATTTTTCCAACCAAAATGATATTCTAAACTAAAATGATAAAGGAATTAAAGTGAGCCTTTATTGTGCAACCTTAACTTTAGAGATTGTGTTTCTGCATAAGGATTTTTGATTGTTGTACTAGAGTCAGTGCCAATATTCCTGAGATCTTAGGCCTCTGTTTGCATATCTTCATTCAAGTCAGTGGTGTTATGCCAATACAGAATTTGGCCGAACATCTTGGTAATATTGGCTCCAAGATTTAGTTGACTTCAGTATAGTTATTTCAACAGAAAATATGGCTTACCATCCCTTGTATGCATGGTTTCTATCCAGGGGAACAGTTTGATTAATAGTCAGTTTAATTGTCCCCTGCCTTACATGGGTGAAATACTTATGCAAGACAATGGAAACTGGCTCTCTGTAACTAATGGAGAAATTCAGTTCATTATGTTTTGTGAAACCTTATTGTTATAACATTCCAATTTAAGCATAATATTAGTTCCTTTTAAACAGCAGTCATTTTCCAACTTTTAAGTGAATCTGAACCTGGCTTAAATTCATATTATTGATTGTTGAGTGCCAGCAGTTCCCTGGTGCAGTAGGAGAGCACAAAGAAGCTGATGACCTCTCCTTAATCCTAAAACCTGCTGTGTCTTAGTACAGTCCCTGGAATACTTTAGAGCAGATATAGACGCACGCTATGGACTTTGGAATAATCTCAGTTCTACGTTCCCCAGAACTGACATGTGAATTATTCTGTTTCAGTCAGGTGGGATAGGATTTCCAAAAGCCTTCAGCACCGGCCAACCTCTGTTCTTATCAAAGCCAATTGGGATTTTATCGTTGGCTTCATTGGACGAAAGTTAAAGAGAAATCCAAGTGCCTTTGATAATCCTCCCAATGGAGAGGTAGAATGAGGCAGGATCAAATTTTATATACACACACTTATTTATATAAAATCTAATCCTGCCTCTTTGAAGCAGGGTGATTTATGACTTGTGTGCATAAGGCCTGTTTGCATGTTAGAAAGATCAGGCCCCCAAGGATAAGAACATATGAATGCATCCTTATCCCTACTCATACATCAGCAGAGCCTTCTGGGCTGCCATTTTAAATATTTTGGGTTGTATTACTTTGACAGAGGAGTAAAGCTGTATACTCCGCTCTTCTGAAAGACTTTGCTTTATACAAACACTGTTAAATGACTACCTGATAAAGTAATCAACCTGTTTAAAAGAATAAAAGGCCTGTGTACTAAAAGGTGACATATAATTATTGCCTAACCTATTAAAGAAATAAACCTGCTGTAGTACAATTACACCTTTGCTATATACAATGAAATGGCTCTTAAACAATTCCTCAATAAAGGAATAAACCTGTCATGAAAGAAAAATTTATTGTTCATCAAGGCTATGCATTCAGGAAGCAATACTGCTGTCAGGGTCATGCTGGCAGTAACTCAACGTGCAATTAAAGGAAATTAGAGGGAGTCTTCATTATATTTTACGCTCTCTTTGTTGAGTTACCAAATGTATATCAGAATTGCTAACTTCCACCAACAAAAGCTTATTCAAGAGAAAATGAGATTATGAGAAAATGAGAAAATATATTTAGCAAACACAAAGAATACTGCAATTTTTGTATGCAGGCATTTGTAGCTGTATAAAGCTCAGTCCTGAAGTATAGAGTTGAATTGTGCCCTCACTTGTATCAGTGGAAAACTAAAGTAGCTTAATTGCCTTCAGTACCACTACTCCAGATTTACACCTGTACTATGGAGAGCAGAGTCCAGTGTGTTGTCAATAAGAAATATTCAGAGACGAGTTTCGAACAGCCATCTGTAATTCTGTTTGTAGTTCAACAAAGTAACTCGGAGGTGAAATAGTTCTAATGATTTTCAGCTATAAAGAGAAATCCCCAATCAATCTTTGCAAAAAAGACACAGTGAATAGAAAGGGTCATACCATAGGCTTTGGGTTAGCTAAGCTCCAAGTGAAAATCACTGGGAAAAAAGGTCATGAAATAGGCTTAAATATTGATTGGATGCAGAGTCTTATTCTGAAAAGTTTAAGCTGTATATTCCCCTGAGCTTCTCCAATTACTAAATCCTTTTCTACTAGCCCTTCCAGGCTACACTGGCAATTGTACTTTTTACTAACTACTCATCTAATCAAGCAGTAATTAGCATGATTTTCTTTGGAGAAAAATTAAAAATGACCCAATGACATAATTACACAAGGTACACATTTAATGTGGGAAAGAAACACAGCAGGCTTAAGAACTGCCATTTGCAAAATGAGTGATGCTTCTCCCTTCGTGGGCTTTTGTGAAGATCAGTGGAACAATTGCTCCAGATAAATATGATTCCTGAATCATTTAACAATCATTTAAAGGAGAGCAGGTTCTGCTTCTGAGTAATTAGAGGCATGATCAGAAATCACAGAGCTGCTGAGCAGGGAAAGTGAAGCTAGTTATAATTCTGCTGCTCCACAACGGGGGGAAAAATTGCCATATAATTAAGCTTCCCTGTGCTTTTATGGAAATATTTATGAAACGAGAACATCTTTTAAATAAATCACAGGTCTGTTTCATTATTCTAAAAATGTTGCATGGACAAAATATTCACTGAGCCTTGATTGTTAGCCTTGTTCTGAGATTCAGCCGCAGCAAACAGTTGAACACGGGCTGTTAAAATGCTGAAACTTAAGTCAGTACTACAGAACATTTTTTTATCTTGTTACTTTAATCTTGTTCACAATATGGATCCTGATTGTCTCCTCCATACACATCAGTGAAAGGGACAAAACTTAGGGGGCCAACAAAGAACACACTTATTCTGGAGTAAATTGATCTGACCCTGTAGTAAAAGTGGAGTGGATATAGGATGCGCCATCCTGCAGTAGTGTAATACCCTTTAGAAAGCCATACACTGATATGAGTTACACTATTATTCAGGTTGTATCTGTTCCCCCAGTCAATTCCATAAATCAACATAAATCACCTGTCCTCAGCGTAAATCACTCTCCACCCCACCGCCATCACCACCTAGGGACCGGGTGCTGTAATAGCATCACACCTAGCTTCAGAAGCACGTATACTTAATACTATGGAATAAATGTACTACGGGTTAAAGCCAAAGTAAATTACTCCCTAGTAATTGCATTGTGCACCCACACTCATAATGAGAGCTCAGTAAGTGGAATGGGGAGCTCTGCTTCTACAGAATTGCCTTCCCTTGTCCCTGACTCCATGAGAGCTTCGATTACTGTGTGCATTACTGGTCACCCAATTTCAGAAAGGATGTCACACAGCTCTAGTGGGATCAGAAAAAGGGGAAAGGTCATGACCCATGATTAGATACATGAAAACATCCTCATACCAGGAGAGATTGGAAAGACGGAGATTATTTCACTACATAAGAAGACAAGACAGGCATGCTATAAGAATATAAATAAATGATTGAATAGAGAAGGTTGATTAGGTGCTCCTGTTTACCCCATCTCAAAACACAAGGACACGATATGGTCAATTAAATTAAAAAGTGAACCTCAAAACCAATAAAAGAAAACCTTCTCACATAATGCTGATAGAATAGACCATTGCCCTCAGTGCTACATGCTGTCACCAAAGGCAAGATACTGAAAGGAACTGAACATTTACATGGATTTGAAGAATAGCCAGAGCTGCCCTACCTAATTATAACAACAATTATGAAAGGGTATTGCAAATCATAAGACAGGCTTATCTTCTAACTCCGGGGTGCAAAATGACAGATCCGGCCAGTGGCTGGACTCCATTGCCCAGCAGCCCTTGCCCACATTGCTGTGGCCAGTTTCCATGGAGACCCCAGGCTGTGACAGTGCAGGACCAGTGTTTCCATGGAGACTGGCTCAAGCAGCACTGGCAGGGCATGTGGCTGGGTAGGGGCTGCTCCAGGACTGGGACTGGGGCTGGGGCTGGACTAGGATTTTGCAGCGGTGACAGTACGGTCTGGAGTTGAGGAGAAGCCACGATCCACTACCTGCACACCCCTGCCCAGGGCATGCAGTCTACCATCAGTGTAGGCAGGGGCAACACATACGGGGTCCATGCGGGTGCATGTGCACCCCCTGAGCATGGCAGTGCACCCCCTACAAAAAGGGGGTCCACTGCCAGGTCCACAAGTGGTACACCAGCAGTGTTTGTGGGTGGTCACCAACCCCGGTCAGTGCTCGCCACTCCCCCACCAACCACCGACAACGCCAGTAGCATCTGCAGGAGCTCCCCTGCTCACCACCGCTGTGCTCCTGCCACCACCAGTGCAGCTGCACCCTGCCCAGCAGCTGGGGACACACGTCATTCATGAGTGTAGGACTTTATAGGGCCATTCAGCACAGCTCAGGACAAACCACAGAGTCATTTTAATATTGGAAGAAAGAGGCCTTTATCCAAATGATTAAATCTATTATATTAAATATCAATTGATGATACACACAAGTTTATTGGCCTTAAGATGTGCTCTGAGAAAAATCAGAAGGAAAAGTTGATGGAATAGGGAGCTAATGGACAGAAACTGACCCCAGAAGGGACTGGAAGGATTGGATTTAGGTAAATTTGAAGCAAAACAAGGCTCTGGGGAGCTTTGCATGCAAGATATGAGCTGGAACTAGAGATCCTCAATGGAGGGCAGAGAAACATTAAGAGAGAGAAAACAGGGCCTGTCTATCACAATAGATTCATTC